GCTTGTCAACCACAAATAACGCTAAGTATATACAAGCTAAAAACAAAATCGCCCTTGCCAGGATCAACAAAACATCTAGTGTTCATAGAATCCGAATTTCCGTCAACTTGACTTACCTACTGATAAAGAAAACAACGAAAAGCTCAAAAACACGAAGCCACATCGTGATAGCCCTTCCAAGTTTCTTGTGCATAGATCAACAAACAACAAACCCCTCTCTGTCGGGTTTCGTCAATGTGCCCAATTATGGAAATTGGGTTTGAATCTAACGCATTGCTTGGCTGATAGAGAGTAACAGATGTCACCTTTTTTTCAAGGCAAGTGGCGGTTTAGGATGATTACAGGCAAATACGGAGAATTGTTGCCTATTGTTAAGCGACCAATCGCAAAGGGGGGTATTTTTCTTTCGGAAACAACAAAGACTGTTACTATCTAAATGAGTGGTGATAATACCGAAATCATTATGCCCGGAACTGCTTATACCTACTCTATTCCACAGGCAGCCCGTCAATACCGATGATCGACAAAAGAGGACCGGAGCTCAATATTCGGCTGAAGAGTGGTAAAAAAAAATATGTATTAGTTCCAATTAAGTATTCCTTTACGGCCCTTTACCGTGGTCTTTTGATTTGTCCTGGTCAATTTCAAAACAAAGCTCGCATTCACGTTTTAGGTGATTCCTTAGTAAAAGAATCTAACATAGACTGTAGATGAAACTTGGTACACTGATGCAACAAGTCAAGAAGATGACAAAAAAGTGATTAAAAGTGTCGGTTATCGTGCTCGTTTTGACGTCACAATGCTGACAAATACGGCTATTTACGACCCTTTGGCAAAAACCGCGCGCGGCCCAAAACTAGACAAAAAGGGCAGATTTTCTCGATGATGCAAGTGGTATCGCACAGAATTTGATTTAAATGTAATTTTTATCTACTAACGTACCAGAAAAATTCCCTTTTATGCCCTTGCTTTTACTTTACGCTCCAAAGTAGACTTAATTTGGAAACGAGCTTTTCGACTTGTTGTAGCTCAATCCGTACAATTTAGTAAAATTGCCAAAAAACTGAACATAAGATTTATGCCAATTTTTTTCTTATTGAAAGGAAGCACTGTTCTTATTAAAATCATGAAATAAAAAATGGGGTCACCGTACTCGTTTTTGCGGCAGAGCTGCAGAAAGTGCGCACCACATGCATTTTCTCCGATTATTGAGAGAGGACTAGGGAGAGTTTCAAAACGGCATGTATGTGGAAGGGGGAAGGAGGCATTAAATAATCCGTTTTTTCAGATTTTACATCGAGATATCACAGTTAGGACGCAATGTGATAAAGAGGGCGCTTAAATGGAAATTAAAGTGAGGTAGCACATGTTTGATGTCCACTACCGAGGTTCTCCGTAAGAAAGTCGAACTCAGTAACACGCGTACTGCTTACGTTATGCACATTCCCAACCCACTGAGTCTCATCTCGGCAAGAATCAACCACAACCTAAAATTCTTACAGCGTTTCTCTTCAGTCAACTTAATTTTAATAATGTTACTTTCAATGCTCTTTTTCACGGCGGCCATCTTGTTATGCGCAGTAAGAGACGCGCAGTGCAAAACCAGAGAATCACCTTAACTTCGCTGGCCGGTTTAAATGGCATTTTGCCGAGTTTTGCTCTCGCGGGTAGTATACACTAATAAGTCTTTATTCACTACCTCCGACTCCTCAGTTCTGATCCTCGTTTGTCAATCTATAATCCTGATATTGTATTGTTAGTTATTACCGGTATACATTACGTCTGACTGCCTATGGCTTCATGTTACTTATTCTATACACGGAAAAGAAGCTTGCGAAATTAACGTACCTGTATACTAACAAGCAGATCCTGTGAAGGTTGCACAACGCTTCCTTGTCTTTTAAATCTTGTTGCTAGCAGCATCCTATACCCGAACATACGGACAGCTGAAGCCTTCAGCTCGGTGTATTGCGTGACGTCACCTGATATGTGTTAGTAATTTTTAACTATATGCCTGTCCGTTCGTCGTATGGTCACTGTCGTATCGGTAAATACAATTCATTTTCTCTTGGTTAAAAATTACGCGAATTTACCCGTTATAAACTCGAACCATATTACTAAATATATTAAGAAACATATTTTTAACTACATGCTATATATCCTGTCCAACCTACAGCCCAGTTAATCAATTTTTCAATGCGCTTTCAACTTATCACGCCAGACACGTGATTATAATTATTCAGAACAGGGAATGGCAAAGCTAGAGAAAGCGGAAATATGAGGGCTCAAGTAAGTCATCGAACCGAAACGGACTAATGTCGTGTCAGGAATCGCTGTTTGATTACAAGCAAGGAAAGATTTACAGGTATGGAACAAGTATTATTTATTTCATGATTTTGATAGCATAATGTAGTCGGGTTCGTATTCAAATGATAGCTAATTTCAACACGACGATTAGTATTACAGTCCTAGCGAAATTAAGTGTTGTTTCCGCGGTATAAGCAAGGATTGACTTCATTGCGCTTTTAGATAAATTACATGTACGAGCTAGTATACACTTTAGAGTAAAGGACGTTTTATTTAATAGGGTGTGGTTATGCGCATGGGATTTTCAACTTAAATCTATGAAAACGAGATCGGAGAGTGTTTTTTTGTCTACACTTAACACCAAAGTCAAGCCACAGTTTCGGTCTGTATAAACAGATTCAGATTTGTACACATTAAAAATAAAGACAATAAAAAAAATGAACATTTACATGACGTGAACCAAGCTTGTTTGTACCATAGCAAATTGATAAACTTGGTCACGCGACTCACCATCTTTAATACAGCGAACGATCTAAACAAGGAGCCCACTTTATGATTCTGCTTTCTGCAACAAAAATTTGAACTTTAGTGATTTCTTAACAAAATCATCTTTATACGATGAGCACCTAAACAACCTCCGAAAGGATTTATTTTATTATACATTTTATCGCTATGTTTTGTTGAGACACAGTACAATGGTCACAGTCCGAAGAATCACGCAATCCTTCGAGAAGTATCAACATCTTAAAATGATGCCGGAATGGGTGAATGGTGTGCATTTTGAATTGTTGCAAGGTCGTTTCGTGCGTTTATTAAAAGAGTCGTTATCTTCTTCAGTTTTAATGTTTACAAGATAAGGAACATAATGTTATCGAAAAACGCGCGCATGACATGACACTGCACTGAAGATGTTAATACGGAAATTTGATAACCTTAGTCAAAGTTGATAGCAACAAAAGAATTTGTCAACAGTTTGATCTGAACTCGATTGCTCGGAGTCAACATCGCCTGAAAATATTACTCTTTGTCTGTCGATGTTTTGAATATAGCTGAAGGCTTCCTAGCATCAATACCAGCTGCCTGGATATTTCGTTATTAGGCTCTGGAGAGTCATAATACCATGAGAGGAAACGCGATTTGAAAGATAACAGATATAAGGAAGCATCGTGCAACCTTCGTAGGATCTGCTCTGCTTCGGCAGCAGATCCTTTTTGACCGGTTAGTATTATTCGCAAGCTTCTGCTCCATCATTCGAGAAAGCTTTCCGGGCAAAAAGATTTCGGTGTTATCGTTGGGCTCGTAAAAACTTTCCGTTTCTAATGGCAAATACTTCCTTGTGTCCATGTCGCCTGTCATAAATTACTAAGCGTTGCTAAGAGGTATAGCGCTATAAAAAAGATATGCCTTATATAGAATTTCGCTTTACCTCGTATCATCTGTCAGTGTTTTAATGTTAGGGTTATATATAAATGAAAGTTGTATAAATGAATCTGTTACATTTTATAGAACGTTGGGGAAATGAATCTTTTCATTTCGTCCTCTTGTCAAGACATGTTGGTTTCAGTTATCCTTTATTGATATACAAACTGAAATTTACATGCAACAGGAAAAAGCGTGGAATGTGACACAACCTTATTCATTATGTGGTATAGTTTCGTCTGATACGGACTAAGTATAATTACTCTCCATTTAGTTTGAGCAATTTGAGCTCGTGCCCCATTTTTGTTTCGGATATTTACGTGCCCACCTTACCCGGCACTTTCAGTGAAGCCTCTATTAAGTGGATCCCAAATTAAGCAGACACTCTCTATTAAGCGGACAGACACTAAGCCGGGTCCCGAAATTAACGTCTTATATTTTCCTTTATAACGAACCCCTATTCAGCGGGCACCTCTATTAGGCGGACGCAGACACCTAAAATCAATTGTAACTAGCTAATTTCTATTGTTAAAAACCTCTATTAAGCGGACAACGGACCGAATTGACTATGGTAGTATTGGATTTTAGATTCAATACTGTGGATTACGGATTCTAGGTACTGGATTCTGGATTCCTTGTTGGTGGAACTAGGATTCCTTTAATGGGATTCCAGATGTTGTTTAGCTGAATTATGGATTCCAAACCCAAGAATTCCAGATTTTATAAACAAAAAATTTCTCGCATTTCAGAATCCGGACTACCTTACATGCACTACCTGGCAATTAATTTTAATTTGCTCTTTTCTATATCTTTCCCACCACAGTTCATTCATATGATTGAAATGGAAGCAGAGGATAGCCAGGAAAGGTTCATTAAAAAAAAATGCCTTCCAGGCCTGACTGTTTGTGCACTGGTATGTTTTGAAACACCGGAACAAATTAGTATAGTGTACGAGTAAACTGAATGGGCAATCATCCTGGGGAGTGGGGCAGGGGTACAAAGGGCCATCTTTCTTAATAAGAGATCGTATTAAATGAGGTCTTGAACCCCCGCCCCCCAGAAAAAAAACCGTGCTCTTAAAGTAGTAGCCTCTTCTACGGGCCACCCCCACCCATTTATTAAGGGAAAAGCCCTGGGGACGAGGTTTAGCAATGCCTTTAGTTTATTATAAGAAGGTGTACGTTGTTACTTGCTGCTGGAATTATTTTTTTGAAGAACAATTCAAGCCAACAGGACATTAAGGCTTGTTAATTAGAGTATTGTCTGGTCTACTCTACAATTAAATATTAGAAGGATGCTGCCTTTATTAAGAAAGACAGCATCCTTCTTACATTTTTTGCCAACAATTTTTGCAGCTGACTGGTATTTTCATGATTAGTGCTGGTAGTGCAGTGATTGTTGAAGAAAAAACACATGCTACAATTTCTACCAGCTTACCTATACAAAGAGCCCCTATTGTTCTTCTTGTGGCTGGAATTTTAAGCTTGATTGACGGAATTGTTTGGGCTGTTCTGTTATGCTGCTGGATCAAAAATGCAAACTTTTGTGACCTGAAGAAAACAGTAGCAGTGGTAAGAAAATTATTTCTTTTTTTCAGGACCTTATAACGAAACATTGATTCATTGATTCATGATATGGTAGACTTCTAGGAGAGCAAGAGTTTCTCTTAATTCTATACCCCACCTGAGAGCCTCATGTTCACAGGCTAGTTCAGAATTTTAAAAAAACTCTTGTTACATGTACCACCTGAACATCACATCAAAATTTATGGTAGGGTATTTCCTATATAATCCTGGATTACTAGCAATACTTGAACCATTTCATGGTTACCAGCACTTAAAAGGTTTCCTTGTGCATCAGGAAGTATCTTGGGCATAGAACTAGAGGAGGTACACAAAATTTTTAGGAACAAGGAATTGTAAAAGTCCTGCATTATGATATAACCCTTAAACTCCAGCTGTCCCACAGCAAATACACAACCGACATAACTTCATCACTGCAACCCATTGTATTTTAGTTGTTGTTGTCAGTTTTTGTTTCTTGACAGATATGGTAACATTTGCATAAACTAAGCCATTTCATGTATATTACAACAAACACCTAACCTTACACTCCTTACATGTATAAACACAAACAATAATATTCTCCTGCAGGACCTTGGGATGGGAGGAAAACTTTAAAATACCGGTAATCATGTTACTAAAGAGTTGTTTCTCCTTATTCCTTTTAGTTAACAGCCCTACTATTAGCATCAGCTCTTCTTGCATTGGTTGCCGGAGGTCTTGGGGTAGACTACTCCAAAAGGGTAAAACATGTCTAAATTAAACTTGCGACTTTTAGTTACCAGGATTAAGTGATGTTTGCATAAAATAATCGAAGGGGTGTTTACATGACACCAGGGCGACTTTCGCACAGCAGTGAGTTCACTCCCGTGCCCTCTCATGGCTCTACATTTGTTTACATGATACCACCACAAAATGTCATGCCGGCGTAAGTCACTCCGGTGTGAGTTCACCCTGGTTGTTGTAACGAGGCGAGAATTTCACTCCGGTACAAAATCTCACAACCATATCATGTAAAGGCGAAACGACCACACGTTTTGGTGTGAAAATTGGTGTGCCCGTAGACTGGAATGGGTAGCGCATGCGCAACGTTTGCGATTTTGAATCTTACGTGTATTTTATCAATGAACATGAAGTATACCTTCAAATAACGAGATGTGAAATGACCCAGTCATCATGTATACGCCATACAAAACAAAACAGTCATCCCGGTATGAAACTCGTGCCGGTGCGAGTTTTCTCATGTAAACACCCCCTTAGAGTACTATACAGTTTTTGAAAATTGTTGTTTTCAGAGGACAATTAACTACGATACTAATTCTTGAGGCAAACGTTTGAAAAGCTAGGGTACGGATAATTTTATTAAGTTTATATGCCTTAGCTGACAGTTACCATTGTAAAATCCGCGAATTTTACCCAAAGATGCTGAGATCCTGGTTGCGGCAAAATAGACATTACTTACAGCCACAAATCAACTTTAAAAACATTTTCATCTGCAGATGCAAACTTTTTTGTGTGTTTTTTATTTGTCCTATATTCCCAAGCGCATATTATAAAACTTACCTCTATGTGAAGTTTCCATCCTCAAAACTTTTGCCTCCAACTTCTCGGCAGTGTCAGGATCTGACGGCATATTAATATTAGTCGATTGTGTAGCAGTTGTCATCCTTCGAGTCGTTTTTTTCGCTTTTCTTGCTATCTTTTCGTTTTCGCACTAAACTTCTTCACATGTCAAACAGATGTGCTTGCGCCATTTTCCGAGAACCAGCTGAGCAGCCGCGCCTTGTCACTTTTTCTGTCAATCGTACAGTCGGTAGTGCAGAGCTGGGAAAAATGGTATGCCTGATGGCGATGAACGGACATAAAAACGTCGCCCGGTTACCTAACGAGAAAACGCCAAAAAACAATTCATTTCAAAATCCAGGACGGTTACCAAGCAAAGAATAAGTCAAAAATCATTCTTTTCAGATTGCAATTCCGTAAAAATTCTAAATACAGTATGTTGCCCAGTATCCGGACGGTACCAGTATCCGGACACTTGAAACAAAAACTCAATTTTTGAGGCGCCCTTTTCAGTTCTCGGTAAACGAAGTATTCCGATGAAAGCTGAACACTTCAGCTTTAAGATGAAAGTTTTGGCGATTTGAAAGTTTGCGAAACAGTCGCAGAAGACGCCCTTCTGTTCAGGTGAGTAGACTGTTTATGGCTAATATTTACGCTGTTTACTGCGCAGTAAAATTAGTGCTGCTCAGAAAAAGGAGGGTAATGTGTGATATTTTCAAAGAAACTGTTTTATTTTTAAAGTGGAGATACTTAAGGAAGTCAGGTTTTCAGAAAGTTTAATAATTGTTCTTGACATTCGATTTGTTTGGAATAACGGAGGCCAGAAACATTCAGTAAGTATTGATGTCAGGTGCCCAGTATCCGGACAGTTTTTCATTTGCTGTAAAGAATTGATGAATTAGCTGTGTACATTATCCGGATAAGATTTATTTCATATCAGTAATTATAATTAAAGCTTAGGATATATGATATAGTCGTACAATGTAATTCTACTCAACTCCGTATGGAAATTTTCTTCACTCATTCAGAGGCGACGTGATTTCGTGAGCACGGCTTGTTTCGCGTGACTGCATTTTCTATATATAACCGAAAGCGTCTGAGTTGAACCTGGAATTCTCATACTTTCCCCAGTTGTGACTGCTAGAATGGGGTTGTAACGGTCTGAAAAATGTCACAAAGGGATTGGGAGATGTGAAAGAAGGAGCAATTAGTGCTAGAAAAGCAGGCTTATTGTTGGGACTGAGCATGAAGAAATCAACACTGAAGGTCAGACTAAATAGGAGAGTGACCTTTGACCGTCGGATTGAGGTCCCTTCCCCAAGCTTTTTTTTTAAAAAAAAAAATAAAAAATGAAGAATAAAAGTCGTTTGCAGATTGGCTAATTGAGCTTGCAAACTCCGGCTTCGGTATGTCCACGGACGCCTTCCTTAAACCAGTGAAAAAGTTCGTAGACAAGGAAGAGAGAATTATACCATTTTTAAAACAACCGCTCGCGTTCCCCACCATACCCCAGTCATTTGTTATGTTTTATTTCAGGATGCTATTGTAGGTTATATTTTTGGAATCGATTGCCAGACTACTTTGCAAGTGCAAGAGAAGCTTATAAGTCGCTTGCCTGTCGAAATTTATGTACAATTACTTTGTTATTGTTGTGTCCGGATACTGGGCCAGCTGTCCGGATACTGGGCAACATAGGAGCTCTGCAAAAATATTAATTTTGCAATGGAAACAAAGGCAAAAAAGTTAAACTGTCTCTCGTCATATTAAGGACTAACTAGATTTTCTCTGGGCCAAATTTCAGAGCTCATGCGACTAACAAAGGAAAGTTATTGCAATGTTAAACTGAAGTGTCCGGATACTGGGCAACATACTGTACCCATTATTTCGCTTTGCAGTTTGACTTCCTAACACTTTAAGACGGAACCCACCAGGACATTGAGTAATTTTGATTTGCAGTGGACAAAAATCTTGTACCAGAATAATTAAAATCATAATTGCAATGTTTTTTACATTTTTTAAGGGCTAAAGATGTAATAAGTCATCTGTAGTAAAACCCAGAAAAATTTCCTATTGGATCCCCGGAAAATGAATGTCAAATTTCAAAAAGTTACATGATACTCATGAAATTTTCATAATTTTACCTGGCATGTGTAATCACAATTCGTGTGAAATTTGACATTCATTTTCTCTGACTTCCATGAGAAATTTTCTTTGGTTTCACTACAGATGATTTATTACACCTTTAGCCCATGAAAAATGTTAAAAAGAATGCAATTTCTTTAAATTATTCTGGTACAAGGTTTTTATCCACTGAAAACTAAAATTAGTACCACTTAATTTCCTGGTGGATTCCGTCTTCATAACCCGAGCAAGTTTTTGTCATGCGCGGTCATAAGCAGTGAAAATTGATATCATAAACTAACTCGCTCGACCTTTGTTCGTTTCCTTTTTAGCCGCTTTAGGGAAACCCTGGCACTTACAGCACCATTTTTAAACACTAAGTAAACTTTAGGGAAGAGAGGTATAGAAATGTAGAACGGGTACAGAAAAATTAACCTAATTCATATATCTGGGTATCAGCCAATACAAAATTCCTTTTAAATGGGAATCGAATTTGGTAGCGACCCTGAACCTGTCTGTGTGAATCTATAATTCACCCACAGCCGCTTACAGTGTATCCTACTGTTACAGTAAAAGGAAGGTTTTTATTTCCTACATTTGATGTAACTTTTGTTACTAATTTTAACCAACTCTGTCTAGCTGAAGAGTAAGTTTAAAGAGGACTTAAAGGAAAAGATAGGAGTGTATGGAAGGACGGGACTGTATGAAACGTTGGTTAATGTCGACAAATTACAAAAGGAGGTTAGTTGATAATGAATTTACTCGTCCAGCTTTCATTCTTAATGCTCAGGCAGTTCAAAGCCTTCCCCCAACTCTGTTCCTGAGGCATTTGTTGGGCATTTGGGAGTTCGCAGGGATTGATATGAAGACCGTTACGCCTTACAAAAGATCGATTGGCATAATTCCTCACATCAATACTCAACCCCATTAAAAAACTGTTTTATCGTTCATTTGAAATATTCTCAAGCTCAAAACATAAATACTTTCAGGAAGGTTTTTTCAAAACATTTCCTGAACAGATCCTTTTCAGTGTTTTGTTTTTCTTTGTGAACATTCCTCAAAAGGCAGTTTATATCTATCGAACGGTGTTTCTGCGTTTTCTTTCTATCATTTTAGCCAATCTTTGGCTATTTCGTCTTCCAATATGTAGCTGTGCATCTTTTGCCCAATTTATTTTGAGTTCAGCAGTCAGCACTGCTTAAAGACCAAAACAGCTCAGCTGCCTCGTCCCTGTCTTGCATGGAGTTGATCTTGGATAGTTTATAGTAATGTGTTTTTTTCCTGATTCTGCTCGTAAAATTACATCATTACAATCGAAGCTCACCTTGCAACTACTCTCGCACGCGACCAGCTGTGGTTACGACCACCTTCTCAGCAACCCCGTTTGAGCTGTGATTTGAACTTTGCAATGAAAAGCTCCCGTAAGCGACCGGAACCACTTTTGAGATTACCCAACCGGACTTTTCCTTGGTTTTTACGCTTTCGTAAGCGACCACTCAGAGTCTTCTTCATATAAAGCAACACCCGATAAAACACGAACTGTGAGTTTTTTGAACGGCTTCAAAAATCTTGTGATGTAGATCAACTCATTCTTGCACTAATTTTTAGATTTTAACTGTGTTATTTTGGTCTAAAAAAATTGAACTTAAAGTTTAGCCGTGTCTACAGATATGAAGGCACTCATCAAACATAAATTTCTTTTTTCCTTTATGAATTATGAATGAGTTAATTCTGAAGCTCTGGTAAGCGACCACCCTCTATTTTTTCACCAGGCGGTCGCTTACGAGAGTGGAAATCACTTTTTCGAATTTCTGAGGTAGTCGCTTACGAGAGCGTCGACTGACCAAGGGAGAACAATAAAGTTTGTTAAGGAGAAGATATTGGGATCTATGATTCATTCTTTCTTCTTAAACTGTCATGATGGCCTTGCAATAATTGATGATTACACTGTTTTGTCTTCATTTTTATCTTTACCTATTTTTTTATCGTGGAGGCGTTTGTTGCCGAGCGGTTAACACCTCGAACTCTGGATCTGGATTGGAGGACCGGGGTTCATCCTGGGGTCAGATATATAATTTTAATACCAAAACTCACGGACTGACAAATCGGTTTGTATTGGCCTGATTAAGGTTACGCTATACTTCAGAAAATATGGGCGGTCATATGTGGAGGCGTGTGTAGCCGAGCGGTTAACACCTCGAACTTCGGATCTGGAGGTCCGGGGTTCAAGCTTCGCCTGTCACGTTGTTTCCTTAGACAAGGAATTTTTCTCCACTTTGTCTCTCTTCACCCAGGTGTATAAATGGGTACCGGCGATATACCGCTGGGGGTTAATCCTGCGATGGACTAGTTTCCCGTCCAGCAGCGAGTAGCAATACTCCCTAGCATGCCTCATGCTCCGGCCGTTTGAGCCCTTGGTTCATTAGCGCCTTTACTATTTTTTTAAAATTATTATTTTACCTATTTTTTTATCATTTTCGCTTTCCAAATAATGTTATCTTATCTTTCAGGACAAGTGTTGTGGAGTAATAAATTATGCTGATTGGCGAAACACCATTTATGGAGGTCACAGATATGACAAAGTACCAGACAGCTGTTGCCTCGAACAAAAACATTCTTGCGGGTTTGAGTTCGAATTAAGCAAGATTAAACGTCAGGTACGATATTCGATTGTTGTGATGTGAATTGTAACATGACTAAACATCATGAATTTTTTTCCCTTTGTTTTTTATTGCCGTCATCCTTTCTTTTATTCTTCTTTTTTGTTTTGTTTTCTTTTATCCGATTTGTGTTACCCTGTGCGACTGAGGGGGTTTCCAGTGCCATAAAATAAACCTGCCAATTGGTTCAGTGTTTAGAATTAATGAGAATTAGCTTTTGCAAACCATCAATTTTTCAATCACAAGGCCCTCAGTGTTTCGCAGAAGAATGCCTTTCTTGGGATCGTTGATAAATGGAAGAAAGATTTCTTAATGGGACTGTGTACCAGGTCATTTCTACTAATATGTAGGGTGCATAATAGAACGGATTGAAAAGCCTAAACTATCTCGATAGCTATTTGAACTTTTGCGTTTTAAACGTTAAAAATTGTGTAGCTAATATTTCTGGATTTCAGTTTTTCGATATGTACCATGGGCGGTGAAGTTCCTGGATAATTGTCCGGGCACTCCCTTTCTCACTCCTTAGGATAGCCCTCCTCCTTCTGCTCCTGTATGTGATTATGATTATGATAATTATAATTAGGATTNATGCTGATTGGCGAAACACCATTTATGGAGGTCACAGATATGACAAAGTACCAGACAGCTGTTGCCTCGAACAAAAACATTCTTGCGGGTTTGAGTTCGAATTAAGCAAGATTAAACGTCAGGTACGATATTCGATTGTTGTGATGTGAATTGTAACATGACTAAACATCATGAATTTTTTTCCCTTTGTTTTTTATTGCCGTCATCCTTTCTTTTATTCTTCTTTTTTGTTTTGTTTTCTTTTATCCGATTTGTGTTACCCTGTGCGACTGAGGGGGTTTCCAGTGCCATAAAATAAACCTGCCAATTGGTTCAGTGTTTAGAATTAATGAGAATTAGCTTTTGCAAACCATCAATTTTTCAATCACAAGGCCCTCAGTGTTTCGCAGAAGAATGCCTTTCTTGGGATCGTTGATAAATGGAAGAAAGATTTCTTAATGGGACTGTGTACCAGGTCATTTCTACTAATATGTAGGGTGCATAATAGAACGGATTGAAAAGCCTAAACTATCTCGATAGCTATTTGAACTTTTGCGTTTTAAACGTTAAAAATTGTGTAGCTAATATTTCTGGATTTCAGTTTTTCGATATGTACCATGGGCGGTGAAGTTCCTGGATAATTGTCCGGGCACTCCCTTTCTCACTCCTTAGGATAGCCCTCCTCCTTCTGCTCCTGTATGTGATTATGATTATGATAATTATAATTAGGATTTTAATTTTGATTATGATTATGATTATGAATATAATTAAGATTATGATTATAATTATGGTTATGATATTGTTTCTTCTTTCTTAATTTTATTGTCAGGGTTGTTTAAAGGTTGCTGTGGATAAGATGAATACAGACTTACTTGTTATTGGTATTGGAGGCATTGTTGCTGCCATAATTCAGGTACGTGAACACCGTATCCGCATATGAATTCCATTGCACATTTTCAAAAAGAAGCCTGATGATGAGGCGTGAGATTTCGTCTTGTATTCATCCAGGAGAGCAATGCAACGTACGTGATCTGTAAACCCTAAGAAGTCTAAATAGTGATACATGTACACACTTAAATCTACCTAACCAAGAAGATCCCTTCTGCCTCCTTTCTAGAAAATGTGTACGCGGAAATTTTATTAGTACCAGAACTATACGTCGATGTAGTTCCTATTCTTCAACCGCTTCTCTGGACTCAATTTTCAAGTCCAAGCGAGGCTTAGTAAACCCGAATTGTGAAAATGGCGCCAGTACTGATTCCCAGTAAAAAACAGTAACTAGAGGGTCCCGAAGTAAGCCAGTTAAAGATTGTTGCTTTTCAATCTCCTAAACCATGTTTATTTCATTAGTTTTAATAGAACCAAAATATAGTGCATTTGCTTTCCAGATAATCGTAGGCGTTGGATTTTGTTCGTGTTACATTCATGAATCCAGCAACCAAGATGAACATCGTTCTCGCGTGCAAGTTTCCTATCGAAAGACAACATCGTTACAGGAAAACGAAGATGACCACGCCGCAGCCACACACGAGGGTGATACTTCGGGTGCTCAAAGCAGTGAGAAACCCACTGGAGAAAAATCGCCTGAATCTAAAGTTGAGGTACATCGTGGTAAATCAAAAACAGCTCCAGAAATGGAATCCGAAAAAACTTAATTCGAACTTTCCGCCACACCGAAAGGATTCTTTGATTTCGACCTATCTGCTAGCACTGGGTTTTAATAATTTGTTTTTCCAAATTTGTATCAGTTTTTAATATGGCATCGAGAAAAACGGTTCAAAGAAAACTAGCTCCTTGATAAAGAAGCTAATAGAAAGGTGGCAACGGTGCTAGAACAAGCCGACCAGAACTATTTTCAAGGCACGTAGAGTTTTCCAAAAAGCACTCTCCTACTGCCCCTAAAATGATAAGACGCTGATTATCAGAATGTACTGACATCACTGCCGTGACTTGAAATTCGGATGTATTATCCTAATATTCAAGACTCTAGTGACTTTTTGCTCTTAATTTTGACGTATAAATTTTTAACTATTTGGGAGGCTCCACTCGAAACAGTAGGGAGTTTAAGATGCCGATCGCCACGGCGACGTGGGCGAAAACGTCACTTAAAATGTGAATGCGATTTTTCCAATTCACTTACTTTGTCAAATGGAATGCAACTCTTTCGGAGTTGCATTCCTGAGATTTAGAACCATATCCAAATTCAGAAATACAGCAAGAAAATTTCGTCGCAGCTTATTTACGTCTTCTACAACGTACGCCTGAAATTAGGCACTTGACGTCGTAGTTGTGCAGTGACGTACAGAGCTGTTGTTTTGCACATTTAGGCTGCGTTCACATGGCAATGCACGAATTTCCACCGGTTGAAAATTCGTGCGCTTAGTTGTTCTGTTCACACGAAACCATCTTACCCGTACGAAACTTAAGACGTCTAGCCGTTCAAAGTTCCGTATGAACTGAGCGAAAATTAAATATCAAGCGGTTCCCTTTGAACAAAGCAGCCGGTCGGAAATTCGTCCGGTGTTTTGTGAACATCCTACCACGTGACATGCGGACGACCATAAATCCATCAACTTTTAAAATGAATTTGAAAACATTGTTATTTTCCCAAGTTTTTTCATGACTAGGTTCTTAATTTTTACTTGTATATGCTTATATATCGAGAATTATTTTTATTTTATTGTTTTTAGAACTTCTGTGAAGCGCAATCGAGCATTTGTATTGAAATTGCGCTATATAGGTGTCAATTATTATTATTATTATTATTATTATTATTATTATTATTATTATTATTATTATTA